CACGAAACATTAATGCACACTGTCTCAGCTAAACTAGTTTTTCCATCTAGGAATTATGAAAAAAAGCACAATTTTCGTGAAAAGGAGGCTTCAATGTATTTCACGAGTTTAGAGCCGTCTTGCGCTGTTTCAACTGTCCGAGTCAGCCACTGTTTATTCTCCGTAAACTCGGGCTGCGTTCCCTTTCCATGACATGTCGAATTAAGTTCCCTTACGCAAAATCCTCGGATGAGAACCCCAACATTCTAGTTTTTAGAAATATTGGTTCAGCTTCAAATTCCGAAGTGGTATTGGCTGTGTTCCCCGGCCAGCTTATTGCCTGATGTTGAAAGTTACTGTTTAAACTGACAGCAAAGTTGACGCTAGATTTCTTTTTCTCTTTCAATAAATTGCTGCCATTGCACACCTCATGTTTTTGCCCTACGCATCCGCTAGTGCGAAGTCAAGTGGCAAAAGCCACATAGCTGTTGGTCCAGCCAGTATTTAGCTTTCACAGCGCTGTCAAGGATGAGCAGGGGCGAGGCCTCGTTACAGATATTTTTGTGTGGTTGCGGGGTGGGCATGTGTAGACAGAAACATCGACAAACAAAGGGCGGTTTTGTATGACAAATAAAAAAAAAATGCTGATTGGTTTTTGCGGGACAGAACGCAAAGGGTGGAGAGGAAGGTAGGGAAAAGAGGAGGGGGGGGGGGGGGGGGTGGAGGCTGGTTGGTTTGGGTTGGTTGGGGTTTTATGGCGCAAAAGCATCTCAGGCTATGATTAGGGTTCCGCGTTTTCGGTTTCTATTTTCTCAAAATTCGGCGTACTTTTTTCGGTGTTTATTTTAAAATTCAATTTTCGGTTTTTTTCGGCGTATATTTATGCCCACCAAAATTTATCGGCTTTTTTCGGTGTATATAAAATAAACACCAACGGACACCGGATCAGATGATCCTTGTAGCTCTGATATTTTTTATCACTCAATTAATAACGGCACAAATATATTGAAAAAGAAATGAACACTTTATTTCGAAAATGTGTGCAACTGTAAAGAATCAATAAACAAAAAACCGAAGTAAAAACAAATCAGATATGACACCTATGCTCAAAAAACATGGAACTTCACCTTATGTTTCCCAGGATTACGTGATCTTATTACAGTACACACGCATGTACTTTCCCAGGTTCTCTTCGTTGATCCGCACTCTTTCCTGTTAATATGACACTGAGCTTCGAAAATGCCCTCTCAACGCTAACACTGGACACTGGCAGGCTGAGATGATGAAGCGCTCCCTGAGTCAAATTCGACCAATCAACCAATTGTGAGCACCAAAAGAGACACGGTGCGACGTTTTAAAGCACACAACATGCAGAGCTTGCATCAAGTCAGCCTTCCTTACAACGAGTTTGAAAACACGCCCGTACATGGCGAAGTCATGGGGCATTTCGGACTTTGCGTTCCGATCGATGATGCGCACAATAAACCAAAACGTCGTGTTGGCATCCGTGTATCCCATACATTCGGAAACGTTTCGATAGACACCGTCGTTCCACTTTTTCGCCACGGCTCTGCGGTACGACTGGAAGGTTAAAGTGACCGTTTCCGGTTAAAACTGATTTTCAGAAAATGGATTCGACGTACTTTTATCGGTTTTTATCGATTTAAATCGAAAATGCCCAACCTAAAAACTGACCTTTTTCGGTTAAAACCGAATTTCCGAAATTGAATTCGGCGTACTTTTATCGGTTTTTATCGGTTTAAACCGAAAACTCCGAACCCTAGCTATGATGCGGGGGTGGAGGCGAGCGGACATATGCACCACGGTCACAGTGCACCACGATTTTACTGTTCACGAACCTCACGCGACGGTTTTATGGACCATTAGTTTTCAACTCTTTTGAACGCTCGAAGCAGTCCGTTTGTTTTCCAAGACGTCGCAGCCTTTCTGTAGACAGTGGAATCTTCCCAGTCTGGCTGACCGTGCGAACGAGTCGAGAAGCGGGCTCTGGCTGGGCTGTCGCGCCCTTTCCGTGAATTCCTTTCCCTCGCCAGCAATCTCTTCGCTAGCAAACCCCTGTTTCGTGTTACCATGCTAAAATCGCCAAGGCATCGCCCTTCTTACACTCTATTTCCCCCTTTGACGGGGCGGAAAAATTCTAATGAGCAATTTGAGTAACACGTTAGTGGAAAAGTAATGAAATCACATTACATTCTCAGAAAAGTAACGATTTACGAAATTGCGAGAAAAGTAATTAATTACGAGTAATCCCGTTACTTGTAACAGATTACTTCCAACGTTATTGAGGAAACCAGGACCGGAGAGGGGACGTGGCTGGATAAACCTTCACCAAGCAGCAGAGCACTTGTTATCCTTCCGCCGCTCGCCCGCTGATGAGAAGACGCCGCCGCGACCCGTCCTGCCTAAGGCCCCTGAATAAGAAAGGTAGCGCCATCTCTCTCCTCCTCTGACGCGCACACCCTTTATCTTTATGTTTTGCTGTTTTACACCCGCGCATCGACTGTAGCGCCGCCTAGAATGGCCCAAGATAGCAGACGGCCTTCCTATACTTGAGTGATAGGGCAGTCAAGGGCTGAAAGACACGCGCGAATACATACACACAGGCTAAAAGCGCACTGTCACGGTCTACCAGCCTTGAAGGATGTGCTCAAAGAAAGACGATGAAAACCTTGATGGTGCACAGTCGGCGTTATTTGACTGGCGACATGGGCTCATAGCATGCACTACAATCCGACAGCATAGGCATTCCTTCTCCCTCCTCCTCTAACGCGCACACCTTTTAGCTTTATGTTTTGCTTTTTTACATCCGCGCGTAGCGCCGCCTAGGTCGGCTCAAAATAGCAGGCGGCATTGCTCAAAGGATGTCGCTACTTTTCCGTATAAAGGGGCTTTAGTCCTGCGTATTCCGCTCTTGCCCCGGGGACTGCCGAAACGTCCACCCATTCACGACTATTTACCTTCGTTTTTCTTTTAATTACGACATTCATTCAACAGATGGGATTTGTTGCTGGCTTATTCGCTTTAGCCTTTAGCCAATCGTGCACGCCCACGGCAGAAGTGTACCATACGGTTCGGGAAACAAAGGGTTGCCGTTGAATAAACATTTTGCAGAAGGGCCGTGTGTTTAGCGAATCAGCGCTCGCCATGAAATCAAAATAGCGACGGATGCATGCGTACAGCCAGGGATGGGCAGTATTTCAAATACAAGTATTTGAAATACGTATTTCAAATACTTTGTGTATTTTGCATTTGTATTTAATTACAAATTGTGTAATGTATTTGACGTGTGCATATATATACTAAAACGTGGGTATTTCAAATACAATTGTAATTAAATACAATTTTGTGGGCAAAAATACATCCCTCAAATTTATTGTCTCTGTCCAGAGCAGGAAGAAAACTACGTTCTGCACCGAATGCAGTGTCTCTCAATCAAACACAAGCGTTTAGTGACTTCGTGATTACGGTGCTAGTCCAGGGCAAGAATAGTGACGGAATCGACGTTCACAGGCAGACTGGCTAAATAAGTGCCTGCGACAACCTGTGATGCTTTCCAGCCTGGTTTCCATCCATATTTTTACCTGGAACATTCTAAATGTGCGGGTCGTCCAGATGTTCGTAACTGGTGCGAGTTGCAACAATAAAAAATTCTCTAGCTAGTGCTGCGCGTCTTGGTCGTCTCGGTTCTTTGTTGGTCTATACCAAAATGTAATCGACAAAAAAGCTGCTTGAAGCTCTGTACTTTTGTCACCTATTACGTCCAAGTTGATTACATTTTTTTTTTGTGATTATATTTCTATTACATTACTAGAGCCTCGCACACTAACTCCCGAGTGCGTGATAGTCAACTTTCCGAGGGGGAAGGGGCCCGGTCAGGATGGTGACGACCGATGATGGTGTTCGCCCGATGGTAGTCCCCCGGGAAGTCGATTAAGAAAAAAAAAACTAAAAGTTGTTCGATCCCGCTGGACACATTACGACGTTGGTAGGTTTACGGTGGCCAGTTTGGCCACGTTTATTTTCAAAACAAAACGACAAGTCAACGGTAACATACAAAAACTTCCAAAATTAAAACCCCATACTTTAGTCCCCAGTCTCAAGAGCCGAATTCCCTGAGAACCCTCTCGGCAGCCCTTTTCTAGCCTCGTAGATGCCTCCTTTCTCTCCAGAGATGGACCAATCACTTCAAATTTCACCACTCCCACGTGGTACACTGTCGTCCAATGGTCGGCGAGCTGTCATCCTGTCGCTGTAACGGCCAAACCTAAATTCCTTGTAGAGTTGTTCTCTGCAATTTTTCCAGTCTGACTGGCGCCAACCGCTAAGTTATTGCATCGGGCAAAAAGCGACAATTTTACACTAAGCGGCGAAACTCTCTATATACAGGCACATTCGGCTAAAAGCCACAACCAGCTGCAAGAAGGGATCTGTCCGAGCGGACTACCGAAACCCGAAACGTTTCTTAACGACCGTGGGGAAGCCGCTCCCCACTCCCGGCCGCTCTGCCCCCGCAAATGCTCCCTCCAAAACGCCGACACTCACAAAGAAAGCAAAAAAAAAAAATAAAACGATGCCGACGCAGCTGTGGAAAGATAGACTTTTCTAAAACAAACTTTACTTATTTCTAACAAAATCCATCGTTACTTAACACCTCCCCACCAAGAATGTTGCAAGTACACTTGCTGTTCGCGCAACATCTGTCCCCCTTTTCGAGACAGACGCGTAGCATACGAAAACAAAACAGCAACAGAGGAGCTATACCCCCTGACAAAAAAAAATAATCTGTTGGGCGACAGGGAAAACCAACAACATACAAAAAAAACACACACACTCACACAAGCAAACACAGTCCGGTGAGACCCAAACCCGTACGTTCCAGATTCCACCATGACCAGTATTTACCTAAAGGAAACCGTAGACGCAGGCAGCCAATTCGGGACCGCTAACCGAAAAACAAAAATCCACAATACCTTTACAACACTGAAAAGTCAGAATTCGCTTTACTCGATGCGGTCGAGCCTCGACAAGGCATCTGCGCAAGTATTCAGAGACCCTTTGATGTGGGATATTTCAACATCGTATTTCTGTAACGCCAGAGTCCACCTCGTCAGACGAGCACTCGAGGGGGCCGAGTAAGTCAAATAGGTTAGCGGGTTATGATCTGTCCTCACCTTTACCTTTGAACCGAACAGCCACGTGTCCAAACGTCCCAATGCCCACACCACAGCGAACGCTTCTCTCTCGACAGCTGACCATTTCGACTGAGCGGCAGTAAGCTTCTTGCTCAAAAACGCTATTGGTTTCTCCCCTTCCTGCGACTCCTGGGAGAGACATGCCCCCACGGCGTGTTCGGATGCGTCGGTCGTGAGGATAAACTCCTTGCTCATGTCCGGGGCGGCCAGAGTCGGCACAGTAGCCAGCGTTTCCTTTACCGAGTTAAACGCCCGTTCTGCTTCTGTGCTCCACGGTATCGTGTTGGGAACCCGGCGGTTCGTGAGGTCAGTCAATGGGCGCACTACTTCCGAATATCCTGGAACGTATTCTCGATAATAGTTGAATAAGCCCAGGACACTTCTTAGTTCCCTCTTTGCCTTAGGCGCCTTGAGTGCTGCAATGGCGCTCATCCTCTCCGGGTCTGGAGCATGTGACGATGACCCCACCACGTGGCCTAGATACTTTACCTTCGGCTGTGCGAACCTACACTTTGTCGGGTTTACAGTAAGCCCCACTACCTGAATTGTCTCCAGAACCTTCTGGAGATGTTCCAAGTGCTCCTCCCAAGTCTCCGAATATACCGCCACATCATCAATGTACGCAGAGGCGTACCCCTGGTGTTCTTTTAGTACCTCATTCATGACGCGCTGAAATGTCGCAGCGGAATTTTTGAGCCCGTACGGCATCACTTTCCACGCATACAGCCCGCGCGGGGTCGCAAAGGCTGTGTACCTCTGCGAGTCCTCGTCTACCGGTACCTGCCAATAGCCTCGCGTCATGTCCAACACCGATATGTATCTGGCTTTTGCCACGTCGTAAAGAAGTTCTGTGACATTCCCCATCGGGAAGCTGTCTGCCTCTGATATTGCGTTCAAACGTCTGTAGTCTATACACATTCGGATCGACCCGTCTTTCTTAGCGACACACACGACAGGGTGCGCGAAGCTGCTGTCCACGGGGTAGATAAAGTCCCACTCGAGCAGCTGTGCTACCTGATCTTCGACCGCTTTTCTGAGGGCGATCGGCACCCTGTACGGATATGACTTCACGGGTTTCGCTTCGGCAACCAGCGCTATCTTATGTACCCCTACCACACTTCTCCCTGGTTTTTCAGAGAATACTTTCCTGAACTTCCTCAGCAATGTCGCGAGTTCCACCCGCTGGTCCGCTCCAAGATGTGGCGAGTCATGGGTGATCTCCTCGATGGTCGCGTGATGCGCATTGTTTGCCGGAACGCTCTCTACATCTCCGAATTCTTCATCGGATTCAAAGATAACCCCAACATTCTGTGCCCGTGCGACATACCTGCGCAACTTGTTAGCGTGTACCCACCTGTCACCCCTCTCCGGACAGTCAACGATGTAACTGTCCGCGCGTTTTCGCTCCTTGATCACTGCGGGCCCCGACCATTTCGGCTGGAGTTTACCGGAAAGCCCCGTCTCCAGAACAAGCACCCTCTCGCCCACCGTGAACTCTTTCGGGCGTGCCCTCAAGTTGTACCGGTGGGCATATGCCTGTTGTTTCGCCCTAGCATGCTCGTCAACAACGCGGGCTGAGTCTACCATTCTTTCTCTCAAATCTTTCAGGTACTTGGCCGCTGGCCTGTTTAGTCCTAAAGGCGGCGTCCATTGCCCCGTCCATGTTCTTTTCAGTATAGACAGCGGGCCCTGAGGCTCTCTACCATACATCAATTCGAATGGGGACCTCCCCGTGACCTCATTCGGGACCTCCCGATACGCCCAAAGAAGGCACGGCACGTACTGGTCCCAACACCCTCCCCTCTCACTCACCACGTGGCGAAGCATTGCCTTAAAGGTGCCATTCCAACGCTCCACGATACCATTACTCTGGGGGTGATCAGGCGTAGAAAAACGAATTTCCACGCCCAATCGGCTGAGGAGCTCCTTGGTGAGCTGAGACGTGAAATTCGTCCCTTGATCACAACAGATCAGTTCGGGCACCCCGTGTCGCGAGAACACATCAACCAGTGCCTGGCACGTGGACTTCGCTGTGAGCGAGCGGAGAGGAATTACCTCGGGCCATCGCGTGCAGAGATCTACGACGGCCAGAGCGTACCTATGCCCGCGAGCTGAGCATGGCTCCATGGGACCGATGCAGTCCATAAAGACAGTCTCGAAAGGTCGCTCAGGTCTCGTCAACGGAGTTATTGGGACTCGGTCCGTCGCCATTTCCCGCGCGAAAATCTGACACCCATGACAAGACTGACAATATCTCTTGACATCCGCCGCCATGGTTGGCCAAAAGAACGAATTTCTAATCCTCTGTTTTGTTTTCTTTTGTGAGAAGTGCCCTCCACATGGCATGTCGTGCGCCAATTGTAACACCTCTTCCCTACGGGGCTTCGGGAGCACCAGCTGTTTGCATTCTTTCCCGTCAATTTGTTCCGTGTGATACAACAAATTACCTTCAATCAACATGCCATGCGTGCCGCTTCGGGCCTGTTCCCACGAGCCCTGCAAAGAGCCGTCGTCTCGCTGTTCGCTTACGAACCCCGTTTCGGTAGCGCTCCGTTCCGTAACTGTCTCGACCAAGTCTACATCACACGTGCTCCCGGCCGAATCAATACCCTCTACCACTTCCTCGAACTCCAAAGGGGGATTGCCGGAGACCTGGTCCTGTTCCGCTCTGATTTCTGCCTCCAGCCTTTGCACCTGTTCTGCCTGCTCAGCAGACTCAGCGTTTGCTCGCGTAAGTTCCTCAAATGCGTCCGGCGTCAGCAGCGCGTCCACCCCCTGCGCGAGTCTTTCCGTTACCGCACACAGCACGGCGACATGTTGGCCAGTCCCGCCGTCTGCGGTGCACAGCCCCAACGGCACATACCTCAGCTCTGCCGTCACCGTCTGGCCGAATGCACCTCTGAGCATGATTTCTCCCCCTCCCCGCCTGCGTGACTCCTCGGGCACCACCTCCCGCCTCACGACAGTTATGTCAGCGCCCGAGTCCAAACAGGCAGAGAAGGGTGTGCCCCCTGCCGTAAGCTGTACCCAGCTTATACCTGAACCTGTTTCCCCATGCCTGCGCGTCCCCGCCGTCTCAAGGGTCTCGCGTGACTGCGGCAAAAGCGCTGCCCTTGCACTCAGACCCGCGGAGGCCGATTTATTCCCGGAGTCCACGGCTCTATGCGCTAATCCAGGACAGTTCTGCTTAAAATGCCCCAGCTTCCCACACGCGAAGCACCCCTGTGGTCGGGGTTTCTCAATCCTTCGCTGGTCGCCCCCAACTTTCGCAGGCCCACCCCGCAAGTTCACCTGTGGCTTCTCAGCCAGTCTCTGGGGCCTCCAGTTTCGATTGTGTCTACTCTCCTCAAATTTCTCCGCAACTCCCGCCACTTCCTTTGGCCTTAGCCATTCTTTGGTTTCGTTCTGAAGGACGTAGGCGCGTACATCATCCGGCATGGCATGCTTTAGGCGATCTGAGATGGTCAGCTGCCGTAGATCATCTAGTGTCTCTACCTTGCGGCTCTCCATGTAGTATCCATACATAGTACTAAGATTTGTAGAGAACTGTGCCCACGACTCGTTCTCTTGTTTGCGCGCGACATTAAACCTCCGCTTGTACTCGTCCGGAGTCATCCTGAGCTCGTCGAGGATAATGTCTCGTAGCTCCCTGTACTTCAATACCCGTCCCTCTGCTCTGTTTGCAACAACGGCGCTCGCTTTCTCATTTAGAAAAGGCAAAAGGATTGCACCGTGTAGGTCCTGTGGCACCTCACAACTCGCCAACATGGTTTCAGCGCTTTTAAACCATGCAGGCACCAATGTGTCTGTCACGGGCATTGGCGCCAGCACCGCACGTAGTTCCTTTGCATACCGTCCGACTCCCCCCACACCCCGAGTGCTCTCTTCATGAGGCTGCCCCGTTATTTTTAGCTGCTCTAATTTTATTTTCTCGAGATCTATCTTTAGTTTCATGAGTGTAATCTCAGCACTAAGGTCATCCGAATCCGGTGACTGCCCTCCCCCACTGTTGCCAGCATCTGGTTCAGAGTTGGCCTCACTGAGGAAAGACCCTGGGGTCTTCGATCTAGTCTCTCTGGTCATGATGAGCCTCGGAGAAAACGGGAAAGGGACTCACCCACTGTTGTTTGGCAAAATCCAATCAGCTGCTCCTCCAGTCGCCGCCACCCACTTGCCGCAGTGTCCCCACTCGGCCTGGCGATCGTGCCCGTCGTCTGGAAGTCTCAGCTCCTTCTTCGTTCACCGAAAAGAAAAAGAAAAAAAAATCACACACAAAAAAAAAAACGCACAATTTTCCGGCACCACAACGAAGTTCAGCACTGCAGCGACGATCTCGTCTCTCCTCTTGAGGCTTGCCCCGATATTCTGTCGCCGCTCGCTGAAGATGCTTCGCCGGTCCGCAGGTGAAGCCACAGGTCCTCCTTTTCTCCGACGTAAATGACGCCCAGGACCGCCTGTCAGCTGCCACCACTCCTTTTGGGTAACTGTACCCCCCCGGGCTTCTCGCGTAGATATTGCCACGGTCCTCACTCCGGCAGGAGCGAGCCTTGTCCGCAGTCCAGCAGACGACTTCTTTGGGTAACTGTACCCCCCCGGGCTTCTCGCGTAGATATTGCCACGGTCCTCACTCCGGCAGGAGCGAGCCTTGTCCGCAGTCCAGCAGACGACTTCTTTGGGTAACTGTACCCCCCCGGGCTTCTCACGTAGATATTGCCGCGGTCCTCACTCCGGCAGGAGCGACCCTTGTCAGCAGTCCAGCAGACGGGACCCTTGTCTGCAGTCCAGCAGACGCGACCCTTGTCCGCAATCCAGCAGACGAAACACTTGTCGCATAGAGCCCAGGTACGCTCCGCCTGCCCCCGTTGATACCGTCGTTTTCGCTCACCGCCCGTCGCAGGAAGTCAGCAGGATCCTGTCGACTGCGCCAGTCAACTTTCCGAGGGGGAAGGGGCCCGGTCAGGATGGTGACGACCGATGATGGTGTTCGCCCGATGGTAGTCCCCCGGGAAGTCGATTAAGAAAAAAAAAAACTAAAAGTTGTTCGATCCCGCTGGACACATTACGACGTTGGTAGGTTTACGGTGGCCAGTTTGGCCACGTTTATTTTCAAAACAAAACGACAAGTCAACGGTAACATACAAAAACTTCCAAAATTAAAACCCCATACTTTAGTCCCCAGTCTCAAGAGCCGAATTCCCTGAGAACCCTCTCGGCAGCCCTTTTCTAGCCTCGTAGATGCCTCCTTTCTCTCCAGAGATGGACCAATCACTTCAAATTTCACCACTCCCACGTGGTACACTGTCGTCCAATGGTCGGCGAGCTGTCATCCTGTCGCTGTAACGGCCAAACCTAAATTCCTTGTAGAGTTGTTCTCTGCAATTTTTCCAGTCTGACTGGCGCCAACCGCTAAGTTATTGCATCGGGCAAAAAGCGACAATTTTACACTAAGCGGCGAAACTCTCTATATACAGGCACATTCGGCTAAAAGCCACAACCAGCTGCAAGAAGGGATCTGTCCGAGCGGACTACCGAAACCCGAAACGTTTCTTAACGACCGTGGGGAAGCCGCTCCCCACTCCCGGCCGCTCTGCCCCCGCAAATGCTCCCTCCAAAACGCCGACACTCACAAAGAAAGCAAAAAAAAAAAATAAAACGATGCCGACGCAGCTGTGGAAAGATAGACTTTTCTAAAACAAACTTTACTTATTTCTAACAAAATCCATCGTTACTTAACAGTGATGCAAAATTAAAATGAGATACCCAGAAACCCGTTGCAGGTGCCCTGAAGTCGCTGACGCAAATTTTGAGGAATGTATTTGGAAAAGTATTCGGAGGAGACCAGATACATGTGGTTGTATTTGTATTTTGTACTTAAATGCTTTTTTGAAATGTAAGATTTGTGATTAAATACATTTTTGACGGAGTATTTTGTATTTGTATTTCGATACATATTTGCATCTATTTTGCCCATCCCTGCGTACAGCCAATCAACGTGCAAAAAAAAAAAAAAAGAAAAAAAGCGGCGGTACTTCTGAAATTGAGGACGGGCTACTGTGACACTTTCCTTGGCTTCGGCTGTCAGTCCCACGATCAAGCATTGCTTTGCTGCGAGTCTTTTCCCTGCCTGGAGAATAACATTTCGCATAGCCATAAAACCCCCTTTCCCGTTTTATACACCACATCCCCCCCCCCCCCCCCCCCCCCAAAGTGAGTAATGCAAAAACATAAAGGTAAGTGTCGACAGGCTATAGCGCTTCACAAAGCAGACATGCAAAAAAAAAAAAAAAATCCAAAAAACACACACACACACACGCGGGCACACACACACACACACAAAGGGGGAACAGGAAGGCAAGAAATGGCGCCAATAGGGTCCAGAACTCGCACGCATTTCAACAACAAAGATTACCTGGCAGTGATTAGGGTGCCAAAATCACTTATACCATCTGAAAAAATGAGAGTAAAATAAAAACCTGTAAACGAACACAATATTTACTATAGCATACTCACCTCATTTCTTTATTGTCTAGCATGGACAAGTTAGACAATAAGGACAAGTAAAGAAAAATAAAAAAAGGACAGGAGTGGCGTCGGCCGAACCGCGCTTTCACATCAGTATGTGGTGGTACGCGCGCGCTCTGAACATTACTCGGTTCTCCCGCTCACTCGCGCACGGAAAGAACGTAACGAGAGTAAAAGAACGAAAAAAAAAAAAAGTTTACGACGCGTCATTAGGTGCTCGCGTTAAATTCTTACAAATATGAATTGGAAACTGTCGTTCCTAATGGCCTCATGCAATCTCGAACTTTTCATTATAGCTTAAATGTTTGCTGCGACCTCTCTATTGTCACACATTGGAACTCGTTAAAAAAAACCATCGGTCCCAAAACCGTCCACACTAAAGCTTTTCGGAATTTTTTTTTTCGACCCATTTAATGCTAGTTTACTATTCGTGACGAAACAGACGCAGATGTTCACTGACGTGTTACAGGAATATATTGTGACGAAATATAAGGGTGTACTAGTAGACGATTTCGATGACTCCGATAACGATACCCGATACTCAGCCGCTGCCTTCGCGCATGCATCGTAATCGATATTCGAGTATCGCTATCGGGGGTATACGAGATACTGGAATGATCTACTAAAACTTTCAATACGGAGCGCAGGTTCGTCTGCTTTTTTTTGCAGTGGTTGTGGTGACGTCAGAACACCGAGCTCTGATCGGTCCTGACTGGAAGGATAGTGGGTAGACCTCAAGGCAGCTTGCTTCGAGGTCTGCCCACTATCTTTCAATCGGAGCCCATCGTCGTCTTTTTGTCGCCCCCGCAACTACTTCGCAAGAAGCAGACGACTCGGTCTCCGTGTTGTATCGTTACCGGAGGTATCGGAACAGTCTACCAAAGCCGCAGTCACAATGCTCGAACATCATACTAAAGACGCGATGTTCGCTGCAGAGATGGAGGCAGAAGTATCTTTTGCAGGACACGCCTCGAGGATCTTCGCAGCATGTCTGTTTCCTACATAGGTATGCTTCGAAGCATGCCTGCTGACAGTTGCTGTACCACCAGTGTGACACAACTGTCATACGAGGAAGAACCACGTCTCAGGCAGTGTCTCAACGATCTTTCGTATGACGTCTTACGCCCGAGTCTCACTAGAGCGACAAACAGAGGCGACCCACCCCGACAAGCCTCAAACACGTGCAGCATGTTCATGTTCGCACATTTGGCAAGCTTGCAGCCTTGCGGCGCTCGTGAAGCAAGCACGAGCCAAGCGTGCGAAAGATACCTTCGCGTGCATTCTGCACCTGTCTGTGACTCGTCGGTGGGGTGTTCTAGAACGGAGAGGTGTGCCGACCGCATCGGCCTCTCCACAGGAGTTGGAACTTGGGAGGCGCCTGGGTGGGCGCTGCCACTGTCCCAGCGGGGCCGGGAGGCCGGTCGGGCAGCGTTTAGCGAGGCTGGCTGGGGCGTGTTGGTGTGACCATTTCTTCTTGTCTTGCGTTATGTCCGACGCGATACAATATCGTGTGGATACTAGTGGTGCCGAAGAGACGAGAGACCCACAACCATATCCAATACGGGGAAGAAAAAGACCGAGCGGTGCTGTTTCGTGCCGGTCAGCAACGTGGGCATACATAACACATGCAAAGAGAAATACCCCTCGTTTCGGACGCCGAGCGACGCCTCTCTGTTCCCGGAATGGGATCGTCTGATTCCAAGTGAAACGAAAACAAAACTGATGTAGTGAAAAAAGATAAAGCGAAGAACAATGTGTGACCCGTGTGACATATGAGAGAAGACAAATTTTTTTTAAGTGGGATTGCTCTTCAATAAAGACAGCAGTTCAAGTTGGTCCATTTATCTTGGCCGTCTTGGTGTGTTTCTTTATATGATGCATGCTCACTAAATGAAATCAATTCAGACATTTCCTGGTCTAGAAGCTTTGGCTGAGAATGTAAAAATCAAGAAAAGCTCGCTTTTATCAATCCATGCTACACAAAAAGGATGTGCTAACACTAGAAGAAAAACTAGATATATAAAGGTCTGCAAAATGAACAACAGCCAAAAAAATAACTAGAGAGCTATGACACTAAAGTGAAGAGCAAAGCATCGCACATCATATCATACTCAGACTTCGCTTTCCTAATGCTGGTATGAAAGGTGAGATAGACAATTATTCTTCTATAACAGCCAAACGAAAAAGAAAATTGAAAAAAGCGAGCGAGACTATGAAAATAACTTACCGCGCCCAAACGTCATTTGCACTTTGAATAAAGTTTCGACCTCTCGCGCAAGTCACCATGTTTCACGAGAATTTGGATATGGGATGGAACTTACTCTTTCTCACAACCGAGCAGACAAAAACCAACGAAGAATACGACCACAATCACGCCGAATAAAGCATTTGCCGCGACCGCCAGGCCCCCGTCAGCCGTCGGACGGCCACGCGTTGCCCGACAGCGCCCTCACCGGCGTGCGTGCAGATCGCCACACACTCCCGGCCGCCAGACGGCACACCTCCCCATTCTAGTGCACCCTATTGTCGGTGTCGGTTGTCTGTTTGTCGCTCTGGTGGGA